TTGTGACAATTCCGGCTCAATGTTATCATTCTCACGAACACAGCCAGCTTTTGCAAGGTCTGCCTCATCCGGTGCGTTTAATCACCCCTTATCAGTCAAAAAGGGAAATTTTATGCGCGAGAGTATCCCTTCTATGGCATTGATAAGAAAAGTCACTTTGGAATATGTGCAATTTTTTTGTGCTAAATGTGCCACGATGGTTTTCAAAAATCCTCCTTGTTATTAGGTGAAGACTGAACAGTGTAAAATTGTTTACCGTTTCTGCAACCAAAATTCTCTGTTTCCTTTAAATCCATAAGCGCAAAGTTAGACTTGAACTGCTCTTGTGAAGATTTACGAACGAAAGGATGATTTACGGATACGTTTAAGGTGTACAACTTTAGCAAACCGCAAACCTAATGGAGAAAAAATACTCATCTATCACCACAAAGCACATCTCCTTTGTGGGAGTATTGGATAGCAACACAGGCATGGTCCAAATTACACACAAGGTCCCTTTACCAAATGTGCCATTTAGGATAACCTTGGCTCAATCTACCATCGAAGAGCGGTGATGGGTGGTGGCAAATCCGACTGAAGGTCCACTTCACCTGTACTTCCTCCTCAGTCATTGATTCGACGCCACTAACACGATATGCTGTAACTTCTTCTGATTGCAAATCTACTAGCACGTGTACATTTTCAACACGTTCTATTTGTAGCTCGACACTACTCACCCATTGTCCACAGGACTAGAAAGTGACGAATTATTGTCCGATAATTATTTGAAGTCAAATTCACGGAGAGACATTTACCTTAATAATATCACATTGTCATTTCTGAAATCCCATATCTTTGATTCTTGATTTTTTTCATTAAATTACATCAATTTTTTGTAGTACATACTAGAGAAATGGGTAATACATAAAGTCAATTATTATGTAATTATGTAGTGCTAATTTACGCCACCCTATGTAATGCTCTATCTACTTATAATGCAAATAGTAGGGAGTACGACCTAAAACGCATCTTGCCAAACCACACGTGCCAAAAATAATTTAGATGCACATTAAAACCCACTTTATGGTGCATGTAAACATACGGTTGAAAAATTTTCCACAATCTACTTTGTGGCTATGCTCACCAATCATTGTTAGTAGTGACCTTCTCCAGTGTAAATAACTTCCTTGATTGATTAAGGACATTTATAAGCACAGGAGTAATACTGGCTTTTTCTTAACTTGCGTGTTACTTCATCGATTCCAGTCTCTCACTCATAAACATATAAACAAAATTAGCCCAATTGTTGTCGTTATGGAAGCAAGCTTTGACTTCAGTTTAAGAATCATTTACTCCAATCCTCTAATTAAAGTTTTAAAATGATCATGTTTAATTCTACTTTCAACCACCTAAAGATGCGAGGTAACTAAACATATCACTTTAGAAGGTTTTGTCCATCCAAATCAGTAACAGCACTACTAATAATCCATTCCCGAATTAGACAGTTCCAACTTTTAGAAGGCGCCTACTATGGATACGAATATGCTAGCCCACAATACCTTTTTCTATCCCATTTTATATTTCCCAAACGCCTATTCTACTTTGACCTTGATTGTCTACTAAATCTGACGCTCCAATTGCATTCAGTACTTGGATCTCAGATGAAGCTGCTTGGTCTTCAGCAGGTGAAAAAGTAAGTCTACAGTCACGCAAAAAGCAGACTTTTGGGGACGAAGTGACGCACACTCTAGAAATGTGGGAGAGGCAGTGCGTGGAGCATTTTGCGACGCCTAATAATATACTCATAGAAATTAACACCACCAACCAAAAGCTGTTTCTCATCACAAGTCAGCCAGTCAACCGGTTTGTCAATTGGTGGGCAAGCAATCCAAAAAGGGCGCCGTTTCGTGTAGGACGAAATGAAGAGACGGAGAGTTATTTACATAATGGCCTCCACCTCAGCTTTTCCTTCTCACTTGATGAGGATCTAAACAAGCTGCTTTGTTGTCAACCGTATTGCTGGTAATTGTTCGTGACACGTTAACTGTCGGTTATTTTAATGAAGTGCGACATGTAATTCTTTAGTACTATCAAGTACTCAATGTCTCCTTGAATGTGACGCATCAGTCTCAAGGTGATGCACCATTTTTGGGCAGTACACCCTCCGGGAATGCTAAAAACTAATTCTGCAGCTTTGAAAGTGAGGTAAACTAGGTTCCTAAATCTGGCAAGCTCGAATTGCACCCATCGATTCTGTCCATCATTTTATGAAATGGGGGCTCAAGATAGGCGGGAAATTGTAGAGGACACTGAAGAGGATATGGATAATAATCAAGCACACATCCATGCTTGATGTTGTAAGCCGTTGCACCAAGCCATGCTAAAATTTGATCCAACTTTTTTGATTTCTCCTTTAGTATACCTCTTTTGACAAGCCAGAATTGACAAGCTCCTTCGACATCCTTATTTGGGTTTTAGCCAAAAGGTATGAAAAGCTGAATGGAATAAGTAGTGAACTAAGAGAGCTCATTAGCTCATTTTGGATCCCACAAATGTAAAACTGCTGGTTGTATTGAGACTGAGTTGGAACGGAATCCACCTGTTCATGTTGAAAGTGTTTTAACGGCCTTATAAGGCGATATGGTATGTGACATTTGAATGTGGAATCCTTGAAATCTACCATCATTATAATTTGATCTGGTAAAAATAAAGTCTGAAAGAGGCATCAATCTTCTTAACAAATTGAAAATTTGTATTTCCTGGAGGAAATTTTTGCCTCTTGAAATACCGCTGATTTGATTTCAAAGCGGTCTGCATCAGCGGGTTACGGCAAGGCAACTCACTGACAACAATTGCGGATTCACAGTTCTTTTTTCTAAATGTTTTCCCTCTTAAAAGTGCGTATTATTGCGCGACTGGTTCAACGCTCTTCCAGTCTCTCGCTGACGGCAGTCTTTGAGCAAGTATAGACAGATCATTCATCCACTTCTGGTTCAAAACGCAGGTGGGTATCAATTCACCAATCAGGTATATCCTCCAACTTTTTAAATTTATCCTTTAATATGTCTCATCTGGCAGACTAGAATTGACGATCTCCTTTAAAGTCGTTATTTGGATTTCCGCGAAAGATTTTGACAAACGAACGAAATTGGCAATAAACTAAGGAAGCCCATTATTCTACTTTGGCTCCTACAAATGCACAACCGATGGTGGTATTTGGAATTAGTCGGTATTTTTGAAGATCTTAGAGAAGATACGCCAAATGACGGCCTTATATCTCCTTTTTATTTTTTCTCCCACTTTACGAGACTGCCCTGTTCGTGATTTGTGCCTTTTAAATCACGTTGATCGGAAGGAATTTTATGCTCTCCATTCAATCCGAATATTGCTGTTTCGTCTGCATAATTTACCATTGGAATCAATCCACGGACTTGCAACAACTCCGGTCGAGTGCTGCCACGAGTGAATTTGTAGTCTTCAGCCACAAAATCCTCCCTATCTCTGGCTCAAGTGTCATTTTTAAATTGCTTAAAGCTAAAGCATAGTTCAGATTTTATAAGGGGGAAAAAGTATATTAAAGAGCTAATGGATAATTCCACGGAAACCCCATTCATGCCCTCCTCACAATTTGACCTGGCTAAGAAGGGGCCGCTAAAGTAATTTCGGAGAGTACATAACCAGACTCGGTGTCCAGGTTGATCATCTTTATGCGGAAGCAACGATAAACTGGTTTTCATAGACCTCTACTGTCTTTCATATAAATGATATATACAGCTCTAATTATGGAATAATGACAATGTATGGTGACTTGAATAACTTAGGATAATTTAAGGTGTCTAAAGTAGAAATAAAGCATGGATATTTTATACATACCTTTAAGAATAAACTACAAAATTTTGCGAGCGCATGGGACGTGGAACAAGATGTGGCATTGAAAGAGACTTATTCTCAGTGAGACTGTCTAATGCAAAGACGTGAAAATTTAGTCGCATTTAGGGAAGTCTTCAAGCAGTATGATACGGTGGTACGACTATCAGCTACCCATCCACAGTAGGACATGCGATTAAGTGGTGTGAACATTTACGAGACGATCGTTAGCAGTACATCTAAACGTCAGCGACGGACGTGGCCGTACGTCATCACCAGCATTAGCAACAGCTGCTCGGTTATCACTAGAGCTGTCACTCTGGTGAAAACTAAGCTAGCTTGTTAATCGTAGCTTGTGGATCGTGGATTACCTGCCTTATCCTGCACGCGTAATCCAAAAATAACTTTTGTGAGAAGAAATTTTGCAAAGGACGAATTTTTTCAGGGAAAATGGTTAACGTTACATCACACAGCACACTCCGATTCAACATATTTCTTCTTAAACACAGGCATCTCTGATTTGAGAAAGTTGGTTCATGCTGAATATCGCCACAGCATTCTGATTGTGGGTAGCATGAAAGAGTTGCTGTTGTTGAGTTGCAGCAACTTGGAGAAGCGTTTTGACAAGGAACAAGAGGATTGCGCGCATAGCATTGTTGGTCGTGGCAAAACCCGGGGGAATCACTTTAGTGCAGAATGAAGACATGTATGTGGAGGTGGGTGTTTCAGCACTGGTGACGAAATGGAGTAAGCCGTTCTAGAATGACAGTCGGACTGATGTTACTTTGCATCCCGAAGGTGCTTTACTTATACTAGTCACACGCTTAAATGCTCTTTTTCTGCCTTCTGCTTAAAACACCAAAAAATATTTTATTGCCAGAACGGAGCACAGTAGAATTCCATTTCACTCGTTCGCCAATTTTAATAGAGCATGGCGTCATGCTTCCATTTCAAATTAGAATATCTGTCCTTCATTTGACGATATTTCATCACAGCCACAACTTTGCAATGGAAGTCATCAGGTAGAAGATTAGGTTCTCTTTAGCTACTCGCTTTGCACACCTCTTTATATGACTTCTGTTAATTTCGTTATGTGAGACTCTCCTTTATACGAAAGGAAAATATGGCTATCTGCCCATCTCGCCGCGTTCGCATTAGCAGTCGAATACCCCGAATCCCTTCTCACTTGCATCGATGCTAATGGTGACTTTGAAGAGTGGTCCACTCTCATCGAGACTGATGCAATAGACGCTGCAAATTTGTTGAGCTAGATGGATTAAATTAGCATTTATCCACACTATGTCAAGTGTTTGGGAGTAGGACGATCTGACAACATGCACATGCCTCTACTTGGCAGTGAAAGGCCGAAAGGGAACAGCATAAGACGTGTTCTTCTCATTATCATTTAAAACGCCAAGATACTCCGCATATCAAGGAGGGAAAGACGAAAGAATATCACTTCGCCCTCTTGATCTTTATCCTTGACAAAGTAAGACACCGTTGTTCCTACTTATTTTAGGAAAGAGACTATTATAGGGAATTTATTTACCCCAGTGGATATTACGGAAGGGAATATCAATCGGATCTACGGATGCCTACACCGCTGGTAAAAAATAAAGTACTAAAGCAGTTATAATTTCCCTCGTATTCCACATAGCACATCACCTCATCTTTTGCTGGTTATAAGCTGACGTAAGAGTAAACAGAGTAGTTTTAACCATAGTTACACCGCTTTGACCACTGCAAGTTTTATACTAGAGTAATTTGAACTATTCCCCTAAGGATGTTCGAATGAACCGAACATTCTCAGCTAATCCAGTGTCCACAGCATGCCCGCTGGTTGGGTGCCAATTGAAGTGCTTTGTAATTAAGACAAAAACTAGACATTTTAAAACTGACTTCAAATAGTAAATGAACGAGTCTATATGAACACGAGAATGCCTTGTTTTAGCTTGCTAGGATGGGAGGAAATTAAACCTCTCGGTTTGGTTTTTAGCAGCCGGATTTTAAGCCTTCACTTGGTCGGCATGAAAGATGGCAGGAGATGAAACTCTCTAAAATAAGAGCCTCAAAACCCCAAATTATTACATTGTTTGAAAGTAAAGGATTGCTTAATAGTAAACGCCTGTCACTCGGGCAAGTCAGTTCTGCTTTAATGATCTATCATTACTGAACTTCAGGTAAACAAATGTGTTGGCAAGAGACGTCTGCGCCAAACCGGGATTATTTCTGCTGTTATCAATAACGGTGTTTTTTACGAGTATCAAATCGTCCATGAATGGTAATGTAGATTTTTACTGCTACAGTTCTGTTTATTTTGTCAGAAAGTTTTAGGGCATTTCACTCACTCGTTATAAATGACTTAGTGTAACAGTAGAGAACTCTTTCACTCCTATATCTCGGTTTAAATTGAATGTTTCTCATTCCAGGCGTATCACTTTTTCGACTAATTTTAAACTCATTCAATGCATAGGCAATTTTATAAATCGCGTTACTTTTAAGCGTGTAGGTGATTACTTGAAGGGCGAGACAGTGCGGTAGTGGAGGCAGCCTCCAGCATGATTCTTTCATTCTGGACATGAGAACTTTTCCCACTGGACGGTTTTTTAGCCATACAAAGGGATGCGCCGTCTTTTATAGCTTTAGGAAGTAGAGAGAGAGAAGGCCTCTACCCTTTTGGACTCCACTCTCCATCACTGCCTTTCAAGCCTAAAAAATTCTCATTTCATAAGCGAAATCTCTCAGCTGCAACTTCTCTTGAGTATATCATTATTAACTACGCAAAAATTGGGTCTCTATTTTGAAAAATTCATTTAATAGTCTTGAGCCAACTTTCTACTAAACCATACTTCTTCTAACACTGACACAGAAGCCTTAAGGCTAATTTTAGACGCCTAAATCCATAGCATTTTTCTCAACTCATTTCTTTATTTGTAGTCTTCTACCTACATTCTTAGTTCTTTTGTTTAAAAATCGGGAGAAGCTTATAAACTCGTTTGAAAAGAAGCAAACATCCCCATTTACAGTTTCCTTCCACAAAGGCTTTAGGAACCTGTTGACACTCTGATGGTTCAAGTGATTGACAATCAACAAACCAGAAGAGTTAACTACGTTTTTCTTGTTCATTACAGAATATTGCCGACAATTCGTTTTAAAATCGTGAAATGAAATATCTGTGCCGTGGATGCTAACTCTGCTAAGATCGTGGTAGCGAACGCGTTAAGTCGTTTGCATGAAAAGAATGTTTTCTACTTACTTAAAATCAGTCGTTAGTCAAATTATCATCTAGAATTTTACTGGAGAAATGGGACTAAATTTACAGATTCCATTTAAGCAGTATTTCCAAAGAGAGCAGAACTTTTGTTCAATGAAAGAGGGAATCACCTACCCACAAAGAAACCACACACACGATGCACCATTTCATGCTCGACTTACCGCACCTGCAATTCCATGGCCTTACCTCCATGAGACACCTATAGACATATATGCAAGTCGCGTCTTCTAAACATGGCAGCGGATGAGAGCCAGGAGTAGGAGAACGAAGAAGTTGTGTTTGCATTGTCCTACAGTATGCTGCACGGCTTGAACTGCCTCGGGTCGAGACAAATGAGGTTGGTCAATTTGATCAATTTTGTTCGTGCACATTCTCAAACCGACAGTATAAAATCGTCCGAAAATTGTCACTGCTAATAAGTTTAAAAACTACCAATAAGTCTTACTGACAAACCGAAAATCTGTAAAAAAATACTGTACTGTACATGAAAATTCAAAAAACCTATCGTATAAGGGTACATTTGAAAAAACGGGAGCTATGAAGTGTGCAAAATAGAGGAAATTTAAACAAAAGACGATAAGATAATTATTCTGTAAGCCTGATACCTTATAGCACTATATACTTGCAGCAAGTTTGTTATCTATTCGTTCCACCGACAATTCCAACGAATGGCTTTTTAAAAAAAATAGCAAAATGATGTTTTAAACCGTAATTAATAGCTTACACCTTTTGTCAATTGCTTTGTTAGTCAGAAAAGTTATCCGAACTAAAAAGCTGCGCCCTTTTTCCCTTGTCTTCCCCTATCATGGAGGTGGGGGAGATGCGTTTAATTATCTCCGGTCGATGAATTCGCCTTCTTCCGCCTCGCCGTCCATTAGGTTGTAGTTAATTCCCATCTGTTTTAGGACGTGTCACTTTCAAGAACCATTCACCTCACCCTAGTCACTTACGCCGAGTGGAATTAATGTTGACTCACTGGCTGTGGAATGTCAGTTTCAATTATGCCATTGTTAATTTCGCCAGGTCTCATTTTACGGGATCTCAATGCGAAATAATATTCAAACCACTACCTCAATGGTGATGTTAATAGCTAAATGGAACAAGATGACCCATTGTGATTTTTCGACCTACATCTGGATTATTTGAGCTACTGACCAGGTCCACGTGGATAATTACGCAAAACTTGTGATTTTAGCGTTGATTCCACAATCAAATGTTTGTGATTACTTGACAAATAATGCTCTTTTTATCACACACCATTAATAGTTGATGCACGCACTCAAACGTCATCCATTAATAAGCTTTGAATATAATCGTAAAATCAAATGTAGGTAAGCACTGCTAGGAAACTTTTCATTAATTTTTACAGACTTTTAATCTTTTTGATAATTTTACACCTGAACTTAAATAAACACACCTGTTCCCCCATGATTCAACAATACTTCATTTCTTCTTCCTTTGCAATCTCGAGGAGGACTATAATTTTCGTCCTGGCAGTGAATAAACCCCTGGGTTTGTTAAAAGAGCTCGTTAGAGGTGGGAAATGAGCGGGACCGCAAATGAGTCCACCCGCGGGCACTTCCCTAACTGTGTGATTAAAGGGTTGAGACAAGCGAACTAAAATTAAGACCTGTGTGATTCGACTAATGACTAAACGTCTGGCTTTTGAGAACTCGCATTAATTCGAATACGACCTCAGTTTTCTCTACCCTCTTTGTTGGAGGGGTGGGAGGAGGGTCAAATAGCTTCTCCTAAGTTGCCACGCTCATTAACTCGGCAGGTTTCTGTCGGTTGAGTTAAAAGGATAAATCGGTTTCAGTATAAACTTCGGTTCTATTTAACCCTAGCGGAGGCGGGAAAAGTGAGGTTACGACAGATACTTCTAACCCCTTTTTAATTTACAGAGGAGATTTATACTTATAAAGTAATCGTATAACTTTAATTGGTCCCTTTTTGTAATAAAAGTAAATAACTGTAAAGCATTTCTTGAAATAAGTTTGTCGCTAGTGCCATCACGCTACAGTAGGGACTTCGTTCCCAGCAAGACACAAGCCTGTGAGTTCCTCTTTTTAGTAAACTTTTTCTCTCCAAAACAAGTAATCTGACCCCAGCTAGAGCCATCGGCTTCTCACCTCTATTTTCCAATCTTTTAGTCCATCTTGCGTGGACCGAGGAAAGGTGATAATAATCACCTAGAGCTTGAAGAAATGTTATCATCTAAAGAACAACTAAACTGTTTAATCTTTTCGGTAAGAAATCTTGCGTTTTGCTGCCCCACAACTGAATGACTAGGCCTGGGCTTAAATGAGGTACAACTTTTTCAATTTAATCTGAGGACTCTCATTGTGACAGATCGTGGTTACACACTACTCTGCCCCCGAAAGGACCGGGGAATTTGTCTTGCCCTAATGAGGGGCTATGGTAGGACCATAAAAAAAGTTTAATTCTACTGTTAGGTCACTTAGCTACGAAATAAGCCCTCACCGCCTTTCAACTCTAGCCCGTCAGCCACCAGCATCATAACATATTTGACGTCTCAATTTTTTTCTTGAACCCGACGTCACCACCACGTGACGTATTTTTCAATCACTTTAAGGATGCGGTGGCTGATTTTCTTCTAAGACCCCGATAGAGCGCATGGCTTTATACTTTAAAACTCACACATATAAATGTGATTGCTCCTATCAATGACCATTTTTATTTTAGTTACACTCTACTTATGACACTAATTATTTAACGACCTAAACGGAAAATTCACTTGTGTACGATAAGCGCCAAATTAAACATAATAAACATCCTTTTGGGTTTATAAATATTTTTTTTGATAAATTTGCTTCCTCTGTATTTAAGACATTGGCGAATATGTATTATTCAAACCTTTGAATGGATCCACTTATGTCCTTCTTTAAAGTCTTCACCTGACGGTAGAGTAAATGCTACAGAGGGAGAAGAATTGTAGACAGTTTAGTCACCACAACACGATCCTGAATTCAGACACCAATTAAATAACATTTTGGTTGTCGCATCACCGCCTGCTTCATAAGGGCAGTAAATGAGCGCCATTACAGTCCTTTCATTGAGATTCACATCACATCAAGCAGTGCGTATTGAAAATTAGGGATAGGAGGAAGAAATATGCTAGTCATTTACTGATAAAGAAATAAGCGAGATAAATCAAATTCTTACTTATTTTTTTTCGCACCACAAGATTTATGATTCTCTCTAAAGTATGGCTACCAACTCCCAATAGCCTGAATTTGGTATTTTTCTATTTCTTCTCTTTTACTTTTCAAAGTGGACCGAGTGGCAAGGAAAATTCATCTAACTCAGCAATAACTACCGCCAAAAATTATTACGATAAGAAAAAATGACATTTTTCTCCCTTGTCCCTAATTAGATTTTGACCGCATTGAAGGATCTTAAATCCAGTCTAAGGAGCAATGTCTACTTGATGCGAAGAGTGATGCACTATTCTATCTGATAAACAGATTTTGCGAAAGTCAAGAGTCATTGGTGTGAAACCGAGACCCTGGTGGTGTCAGTTCCGCGTGTACGTGCGCTAAACTAGACGACGAGCCAGTCAGCGTGTACGTCTGCCCGCCCTCCCTGCTGATTGGTCAGCCACTTGATGTTAGCGGGCGCCACTTATTGGCCATGCTGCCGATACCGATCCCATATTACTTTCCTCCTTAAACGCACCAAACCACTGATATCCACGTATCATGAATGCAGGCGAGAGCAAAAAATTCCCCACCTTTTCTGCTCTAAGCCTTTTAGATTCAAGCCCCCAAACTACATTCCCAGGCGACATGCCCACCCAGAAGGAGGTATTGGCAGCGTTTGTGGCCGCTCGTGCTGCTCTGAAATGGTCTGCCGAAGATGACATCTTTTCTAGGACACAGGATATTATTAAAACTTGTCAAAACCTTGAGACTGCTGGAAATGTTGATTGTTTGTGCCAGTTTATGTGGTCTCTACCAAAGCGTAGTGATTTGTGGGAGTTGTTGAATCGTGACGAGGTTATCCTCCGCTCGCGGGCTCTGATTGCCTTCCACACCCGAAATTTCGCTGAACTCTACTCCCTTCTAGAGCATCATAACTTCTCCAAGGCGAGTCATGCAAAAATGCAGGCTCTATGGTTGGAGGCACACTACCAAGAGGCCGAACGGCTGCGAGGTCGTGCTCTAGGACCGGTGGATAAATATCGAGTGCGAAAGAAGCATCCCCTACCTAAAACCATTTGGGACGGAGAGCAAAAAACTCACTGCTTTAAGGAAAGGACAAGGAGTTTACTAAGAGAGTGGTACCTTCAAGATCCCTACCCTGGGCCCAACAAGAAGCGGGAACTGGCCAATGCCACGGGATTGACACCTACCCAAGTTGGTAATTGGTTCAAAAACCGTCGGCAAAGAGATCGAGCAGCTGCTTCAAAGAATCAGTGGGTTTTTTTAATAACTGCTTAAAACTTTAATGCCTAATTATTTTACAAGCCCTATTTTACTTGCTGGGGTGATAGCCAGGCTCATCGGATTTACCAGACTAAAATCAAAAATCTTGTTTTACGTAGAGATTGCTCTATCCTATCGAAAAATTGAAACCTCGCTTACGCATTTTCCTCTCAGGCTGACTATGAAATGATGATGATAGAATATGGCAAAGGACCCTTTTGACATGCTGAACCCAAAGCTAGTACTAATAGGGTGAAAAACGCCAGAATTCATGGCTGAAACTTGAAAGCTCCGATTTTATAAGTGATTGAATAATGGTCAGTATAGAACTTTCTTGACATTTGAACTTAGCAGGACCGTAAAATCTCTAGGAGAATACTTCCAACAGAGGAAAGCGACGAAGAGATCTCCGTGGATACTAAAGTGCCGCCCTCTTCAAGTTCACCCTTAATGAAACATGTGGAGCAGCTCTCCTCTCCTTCAATCTGCCTGGACGACATCAATTTAACCGAACCCAAGCCCCTACCATCTCCATCGAAGCCCTCTCCGTTCAGCACTGAGGCTCTGATTGATAGAAAGCGCTCCTTTAAAGAGCCCTTTGGAGAAAAATCGGTTGGGGATGAGTGGATAGCACGGGCAATGCCTATGATGCCACCAATCTCAGTGGCAATGGCAAACTTGATTCCGGACTTCAGATCTACCTCTCTCTCCCAATGGTATTTTCAGGCGTCTTGTGCTCTGGCAACCCTCTTACCACCTGATCTTATGGGCATGGTGCCCCAACTTCCCTCTCTCATGTTTCCCTCACTATTACCACCCAGCCTTCCCCTTCCACAGTTCCAGGTGGAACAGGCAACCGCCTCCTCCTCATCCTCCAAGACTCAGGAGTCAGAAGCTGCGGCTTCCTTGTGATTTTGCATTTGCTTAAGCTGTGTTTATGTGTAAGAATGATTTTTTGAGGCAAAGTTGTTTTATTGTCATGACTTTTTCTTATTCTGGTTGTTTATTTACCACAGAGCAACCTTCGTTATCAGCGTCACGCATAGTGAAGCCCTGATAGCTTTATCAGAATCTGGTTGTGAGGAAACGTTTAAACGGATCAAAAAATGTGGGCTTTGAAGGTTAAAGTCCGCCAATCCCCAACAGCAAAATGATCTAGGTATAGTGCTAGATCTTCGATGACGAGCTAACACCGCTTTCCACCCTGGAAAAAGAAAGTGTACTATCGTTCACCACTGTTTCAGTAGGTCCATTTACCGTCACAGATCATGAAAGATTATGGTATTCAATCTTTGGACACCACACAGCACCTCACATCTTTGAAACACCGGGTCCTCTGCAATCCTTTCTGGCCTAATATAAAATAACCTTGATTATGACAGATAGACCATTTTGAACTTAAATGTGTATTTTTTGACTATTCGACCAATCGGCAGTAGGGAAAGGGCAAGTCCGATGTCTGAAACTTCCCAAAGGTCACTTGTGATAGCGCAGGTGAAAGCGTGATCTAGGAAGTTTACTCTACCTTTTGAAGGTCATGCGATTCCCGCGTATCGTCGTACTACTTCAAGCTTGTAGGATCGGGAGTTTGTTCCGTCTCACGCTTTTTGAAAGACGCAGACAACGGTCAATTTAATCTGATTCAGTTAAATGTCAAATAAGTATGATTGGCAGTAGAACGGGAAAGTAGAAAGTCATCTACTTTTTTTCCATTATATGCTGAGACAATGATTTTGTGTCCTAAAAGACTGGGTGCACGATTTCGTATAAATCACAGGTGGCGTGGATACCACTCTTGAATGCCTCCCTCTCTCTACCTTTTTGGGGCAGGGGTAGGTATCTAGCCCCACCCCCTCTTCTCCTGGTGGTCCACGAACACCCTCGGGGTGTCACCAAACCCTCTCTCTTTCCCTCTTCGTGTTACTGTGACATTTTCATCCAGTAAAGGTCAGCCACGGAGAATGTGAGAGGATTAGATGGAGGAAGAGGAATGCGGGACGCCTGCCCCCATGTACACAGGAAGCGCACGGACGCACACATACACACACATGCATACATGCACACACGCACACACACTTGGGCACATGGTTGTGCTTGTCTGCTTATTTCCTCCTGTGGCTCCATGATTAAATAAATTGCATGATCGGAGAAGTTGATTTTCTTTTTTCCTTTTCCACTTAATTATGGGGTTGGAATAATAATTCCAACATTTGTGTCTCCGTCAAGGCCAAAATGCCTCTCTGTAGAGTTAAAGCACCCCCTTTTAGTGGCAGATTTAGTAGGTCTTGTTGACTAAACCCAAGTCAGTTGTTGGATCTAAGGTAGTGATTGGCTCTATCTCCAATTGCTTGACCTTTTGGCATTGGAAAATAGGTCGCTGAATTAGACCTTCTAATCGACATGACAACCTTTTCAGACCTTAAACACCCCACGTAAATGTAATCGTTCATCTTTCAAAGTGTTGTGTTGGGCGAATTAGACATTATTTTTCCCCACGGAGTTCACCAAATTAAGACTTGCAGCAAAGGGGAGACCTCTTCTCTTAATGGTTAAAATCTACTTTCAAACAGAGAAAATCCCCACATCCAGTACATTGTTTCTGAATCACTCAGTCTGTTGGAACTCGATTTGTTGCCTCTAAATATGTGTCATAAATGCATGATGGGCAAAATCGGGTACTAAAATCGGTTTGTTTGCCTAAAAAACCGCAGACGAACTTGATTATTACCCAGTTACTGACGAAATGGAGGCCTCAGGTCAAGTTCGATTCTTTAAATTTGCTATTTTCTAAATATTTTGGTGGATCTGAAAGGTACATTACGGGACATGAATCGGGACCATTTTATGATCTCCCAAGGCAGAAGTGGCTTAAATTCCGATTCTTCGTAGTGGAGAGGATTCCACTTACAGGCCGGCCTACCACTACACCGTATTTTAATGATATTCATTCTTTACTACCTTCGACCATGTGTCCAGATATTCCCCACTTCACCACCATATGCCCGGATGCCTTACGAAGATAGTGGATCAAAACACCTGCCGCTAAGTGCTGCGATTTTGGGGGAGGGGGTTGACGCCAACACATTCATGGCATTTCTCGGTTGTACATTACATTCATTAATCGAAAGGTGGGTGGGTAGAGGAGCCAGTGATACAGCCTATTTTAATGTAACACGAAGAGACATACTATCGCGACATCCATGGCCTCAGGATGAAACACTTCAGCCGCCTAAGTGAACTATGGATATAAATAAGGTCTTAAGTCCTCTCTGAAAACGTGACACCTGTATGGAAGGTTTGTCATTCACAAATAGAAGGACTGGGCGGTTAGAAACATAAAGCAGACGCCAGAACACTGAAGTGGACACCACCTCCTAAGCTTAAATGCAGCACCATCCTTATCTTTTGCGTTCCCCTAATGAGGAGATTTCCCCAATAGCTTAGTAGTAAGTACCAACTTTAACTTTACACTGACATATGATAATCAAATAAAAGTGGAAAATGGAATAGATAGGTGAAAAATGAAGGTGGTAGGGTGATAAAAACAAAATCCTTTAAAAAGTAGAAATAACAAACTTTTGTGCTAGATGAGAAAACCGGAGTAGCTATAGAGGTGTGCGACACAACGAACTTTGTCGATTATTATTTGCAGTTATGCCTTTCCATCAATCAGGGGTGAAGAGACTGACCTTCATGGATAATCGCCTATGGGGTGCAAATAAAGGCGCTGACCACTACGATGTTGACATTTGCAGCAATGTCAATGTTTGCGAATAAAGCGTCCCACAATTCGCTTACACCTCCTCCTCGTTATTACGGCACAATAGGCATTTGGGAAGCCTTATTAATCATTTGGCATCAGATAAGGGAGACAAACACGCACACACACCTCCCTCCTGATAAACAATATGTGAAGGATGATTCCTCCTATCCTTCTTTCCATACTTTTTTGTCATCTGAAGTCCAAACGAGCTGTTAATCCGTGTTTTAGGCAGCCTACCTTACAAGGGAGATACACGTGGTGTCAGGTAAGAAGAAGGGAGTGGATTTACAGAATGATTCAGACGAACACATAAATGCCACCTTCACTTGGTAAACTGGGTTTTTAGTAAACACTCCATTGTCTAATCTGTGGGCAAAAAAAGGCGACCCCAAGAAAAACCAAGCATGGATTGCTCTGATGGTGAATTGAATGGATGTGTTTGCACCTACGAAATGGGCCTCTTCTTTTTTACATGTCTCCTTTTTACAACCTGACATTTATCGCTTACCATGAGACCAATGTCATCTAAAGTGTTCACGAAGTTCCTCTTTCCCCCTACCCACCCCCCCGCCCCCTCTCTCACTCTCCCTCCAATTCAGGGACCCGCTCACGCACACCTGCAAACGCCCCATGTGTGTGTGCACAATCCAGTCCATAAATTACGGCGCGACATTTGCCTCAGTGACGGCTTGAATCACTCGATCGGCCATCAACATCCCCCTCCACCCACCCACCATCATAAAAACCGTTTCTTTCCCTATCCCCACCAGTGGCCCCCATCCTTGGCCACCACTTCCTCTTCGCCTTCCACTTCCTTGGGTGACAATCAGTGTGTTGCTACCTGCATAAAAGAAAGCCACTTGCATGGGGGCACGACTGCATTCCGGATAAGTGCCGCTCCCTAATTGCCTGAAAAGGACAAATTGTCATCATGAGGGTGTGGGTGGTGGTGCCAGAGGGCTCCACGCTCTTGACCAAAACGTCTGCTTGGTAGGGTATAACGAAAGAGCTGCTAGAAAACCAAATCAGCCCGAGCTGGTAGACAGCACGATGCCAATTTTACCAACATTATAAATCTTTTAAAAAGATTATTTAAAATGGATAATGAACATAAAAAACAAATCAACTAGCAAACCAATTTTCAAGCTGTAGACCTTTAACTTCATAGTTTATAAAAGCTAAAATGGATAAAACTATTAACGAGGTAAGAAATGAAACGGGAATTGTTTAAATGAATTCCCAATTTGGCAGACTTTGGGGCCCTTGTAGGTCATGTGTCCATCTTGACGGCATGCTCGAAGGGACATGACATCAGTATCACCAGACATTCATACATGTGGCTTCAGGTTCAATTCCATCTAATCCGATATTATCCACTCACACACTCACACCTTCCATCACACATTCGTCCAGCAGTCAGGCGATTGTCTTTGCCCTTTCCGCTGCTATCATTGCCAGAACTCAGTCGACATATTCCTGTTTGCTGCTTACTTTACTAATTTTCCCACTGCGGGCAAATGTCACTGACTTCCACTGTTAGTTGTGCAGTCATCAATGCCACCATGTTTGATTCGACATAACACCACCCAGTCCCGTTATAAAATCCAGGGCAGGAGAGGGCAAGCAAGGCTGGGCAAGGCAAGGAGAGGGGATAGTGGTGGTAGAGGAGGAGCAACACAGCCCCTCTCCATCCACCACCTCCCTCACCACCTCCTCGGCTTCTGCATGCCTATCAAGTAAATTTGAAATGGGCTTAAATTATGCATGAGGTAGTACGTAGTAGCATGGACCAGCGCCACGTGTGACCCCAATCTCGTGACGAGATTTGAGCATGGATAAGGCGAGATGTAATGCCCTCCTAATGTTGTTCCCCAACAGCTCCACCTTCAGTACTGTCTCGCATTGAGGACCGCATTCATGGGCACAGCAACGACTATGCACCTACGCATTGTGTCCGAGTTGAGCATTGGGTTGAGTATTCGGTCGTGCAGGTGCTTTAAACACCGCGTCAGCGATGACTGTGACTTCACTCGGGAGGAGTGTGAAGCATTTGGCGAGGGTATTCCAACACTTTTCCTCGACAAGTGTGACGTTGGAGTGGAAGGCAGTACTGGACAGTTGGTAGAGGAGGAGGAGGAGGAGGAGTGAGGGCTGCAAATGAGGAGCGTTCTTCCTCCTCCACATCGCGTCTAGCTGCCAAGGGCTTGCACTCCTCCTAGTGCTCAACTGCAACGTAGTTCCGCCCATCATTTGTGGAACAATCAACCCGTCTCCATACTGAACGTGTGCTAACCTTTCACGATCACTCACATCCGAGTTTGAAAACAACTGTGTTCCCTCTCCACGTCTCTCTCTACATTCTTCACACCTCACTAAAGGATTTGCACAGAACCATTTGCCATTTGTACAATTACACTGGACAAGCAGACGATGCTCACGGAATTGACTGCTGAGATGGTGGACTGATACTAACCATTACCACCAACACGACCACCACCACAACCTTCGTCATTGGCGTTAAAGGACAAAGTACGATTTACCACTGTTGAACCTCTCAGCAGCTCCAAGTTCTACCGCTGGGCCTCACTACCCTCCAAGTCTTTTACAGACATGACCAATGCTAGTGAGTTCGGGGTTGTCACCTTCCTTCATATGCAATGCCACCCATCAACACACGCTGTTCCACGCACTCGCAAGTCAGTTCACCACTCTCCCAATCTTCATCAAATCTAATGCGGATGTTCCTCCTCAACTAATTACTCTTCCACGTGCAGTCATGCTTGTCTTCGTCTGTTCCGTTTAAAGCACCCATGAGCTCTCCCCTCACACCTCACACCTCACTTCTTCGAAAGTGAGCAAAACTGGCCACTCCCACGCCACATAATTCACATCAGCAACCGCAACCCATTGCACCACGTCGATCCGACAGCTCAGATGAGCTCTGCAGACTGGGGTTCCTGCCTCATCAATCACTGCGAAATTAACCGAAGCAACTTTACAAGAAGCCCGAAGAAGGAGAACGTGTTGATGCCGAATGAGAAGAAGGGGAGGAGGAAGGAGAAGGGGAAGAAACAGGGTTGCAGTAAATGATGCCCTCTTGCAAGATTTCACTGGTAATGTGATGAGAATGGCCCAAAACACCTCCATTCGGCCACTTCTCTAACCTAGCAATTCTTGCACAGTCATCAGTGACAGCGATGCAACCAGTCGTGTCATTCATTTACATCTACATCCTGGCTCCACTCTCCTACCAACAAAGTGATTCGTCACCATCTCCCCCCTCATTTCTCCACACATACACAACTGCTGCGGACATGCGTGCTGATCGAAGACGGAAAGTCTAAAATGTAATGTTAGAAATTTGCCTTCCACACCTGACAGCAACATCAGTTACCGAATAGGTGAGTGCTAGCGAGGGGGTTACTTCCACCACCGATTTGCCAACAAATTTGTGTAGTGAGACGGTCTTGAGAATGAAGTCGCTAGGATATCATGAGGACCTCAAGTGGTCTGACAAAGGAAAACCTGGCAACCCACAACCCAGTCACTATTAATCCATTTCCCTCTGACACGACCACGCCTTCTCCAACTACCTTCCCACTACAAAGTGGGAGACGCCTAGAAGTATGCAGTCATGACAGCAATCCACAGCTGCGTTCTGAGTTCGAGAAACACAAATAATCATCGCAAATGATTCACAGCTAGTCACTGCTCCTTCCTCTCCCTCTCCATCTCCATCTCCTACTCCTACTTCTGCACCTGCTCCTCTGTCGATCCCTTCGATGTCGGCGCTCCATGCTACCACTTCACAGCCACCTTACCACCAATACTGCGACAATCCGTGCCATCAAACTGCTGTATCGCGTCACTGCAACGACCTTCTACTGTCGTCGAGAAGAGCTCTGACTTCCAACCAATAGTGGTGGCAATAATGGCAGTGGAGCTGCACATTGGCTTTGAAAATACCGACTGATTTATACACCCTCCTCCACAGCACCCTCTTCTACCATGCACGAGTGACACACCTGGGACACGTGGAATATGTGCACATTGTCGTTAGGGGTGTGGGAGGAGGTTGAGGTGAAGGGCATTTTGATAGGCGCCTAACCTTCGTGTGGGTGGTGAGGCTTGCAGTCATTCAATCCAAATGTCACTTGACCGATGAACATGTGGACAGTGAGAGGGACCGCACAGGAAGTGTTTATCCCCCGCAGTCAAAGCCTTCCCCTCTGATAACAATCACCCTGTGCACCACAACGAAGCCCACTTGATTGCACATGGTCTACCAACACAAACGTAAGCGCCATTCCATTCCAGCTAGTAGTTGTTCTGTTAGTTGGAGTGGTGATGAGTAGTGTAGACGACTGATTTGTTATGGATGGAAGCACTTGAGTGGACGCATTCCACCTACTCAGTCCAGTGTAGTCCAGTGTCGAATGCGAACATTTCCATCAACAACGTCCTTCCACCATCAGACTGATTGACTGCCCAGTGGAATCAGTTCGGTTGGATGGGTTGCCCCACCAAGCAGAAATCCATTTGATGTAAAAATGTGTGCGTACTGCTGACAGGACGAGTAGTATGAACAGTGAGTTGTGAGGATCGGAGACTTGGAATTGCCCTAAGCAAGTGTGTGCTGCTCGACAGGTGGCGCTCCTGCTTTTATGGTAGCTGGTCAACGCTGCACTACTTCATGCCATCTTCATTCCAATTGCGGTGAAAATGGTCCAGTTCTAGAGGCGTCAATTCAAATGATGACAATCTGATTTGCACGAGTGGAGGAGAGGAGAGCGTGCGTGGAGACGCTTAGCAGGAATGTGGATTTGTATGCAGGATGACACAGTCTGGTCTCGATTATGTGGTTTGGACACCTTTCCCACTACCACCTCATTGCTTCACAAAACCGCATCAATTGCCTGTCCGCTCTGACCACCCACTTTATCAGTCCCACAATATGCAATGACCCAATCACCCATTACTGAAGAGTTAGTGGTTGGATGCACTGCCAGAGCATTTGAATGTCCTCCTTTTGAGTTGAACGTGCCACAGATTTGGCAGTCAGGCTTTGACAATTGGATGGTGGATTTGGGTGCACAGTGCGAGAAAGGCACTGGACACTAAAGTCATTCAGCTGCTCTGCGGTCTCCACGTGTAGCATTTCAAATGCTACGCGTGCGTGTGGGTGTGTGTTTGTGGGTGGGTTGATGGATGGGTGGATTAGTGGGTGGGTGAGTGATTGAATAAGTTGGCTGCTAGCTTCAATCATACTTATCTTTCGGATGACAGAAATGGGAGTGAAATCTCTTCACTACATTGCGATCAGGCTTGAAGTGACTCCGAGGACTGAACATGGTGAGTCTGTTGACTCATTGACTGTGGACAATTTGGTTATGATTGTGATTAAGATGATAATGAGGAGGAGGAGGAGGAGGAGGAGGAGGAGGAGGAGGAGGAGGAGGAGGAGGAGGAGGAGGAGGAGGAGGAGGAGGAGGTAGAGGTGGAGAAGGAGTAGAGGAGATAAAGAAAAGAGGATAGGATGGGAAGGGAGGAAGGAGGGAGGGAGGGGAAGGAGAGAGAGGGGAGGGGGAGGGAGGGAGGGGGGAGGGAGGAGAGAAAAGAGGTGAGAGAAAGACGTGTTTCGTTGGAGGGAAGGGAGAGAGATAAATGAGGTCAGTTGTAGGAGCGATGGTATGGGGTGAGGGAGGGTGGA